GGATGTAAGTAAGCAAAGAGGGGAATAGTAGGAAATGCAAGAGAAGTGTAGTTTCATAGAAACCAAGAGAAGAAAATGTTTCAAGAAGGAGTGGGCAGCAGTGCTGAACACTGAAAAATTAACAAGAAGGTATTGATGACCTTGATGAGCAAATGTTTATGGGTGGTAGCATTGCAAGCCCACTTCAGTGAGTTTAGGGAAAAATGGGAAGTGAGTAAGAATATGGGAACAGAAACCATTTAAAAAATTTTTTTGCTGTGCAGGGGTGCAAAGAAATAGAATGATCCTTTGATTTCATATTCTCCTCTGAATATAGTCCTAAGATAGGTAGCTTCTGTGCTGATAGATGGGGACCTGCAAAGAGGCAGTTACTGCAGATACTGGACAGAGTGGGTAAGTGCAGGAGAGAAGTCCTCGAAAGGGCATGGTGAATTGTTTTGCATTTTTATTGAAATCTATTAATTTCATTATCTGTGATTTCAATTAGTTTGTTGAATGTTCTCGTATTAAGTTGAACTGTATGAAGTTACCAATATTCATACATTTTTGACCTACAAAAGCAGCAGTGGCATGTAATTCTACCTAACAGAATTAGGATTTTCAACTGTAATTTAAAATTTCTCTCATAGGTCTTTATAGTTTATTTCCAAATTTAAAATGTATATAATCTCACTTATCTAAAAGTTGCAATTACAGAACAAAGAACATTTCCCTCCCTGCCACAAACCATTTGAGAATAAGTTGCAGACTGTCTCTCCCTAACATTTGAGTGGGTCTTTTCTATAAATAAGAACATTTTCCTATAAAATCACAGTACAATCTAGTAAAATCAGGAAATTAACATCAATATATTGGTACCAACTAATCCTTCAGTCCCATTCAAGCTTTGGCCAACTGTCCCAATAACATCCTTAATCCTAAAAGGAATTAGTCCAGCTTCTCACATTGCACTTAGTTGTCACGTGCCTTTAGTCTCCTTCATTCTGGAAAAATTCCTTAGTCTTCCTTGATTTTCATGACATTGACACTTTGATGAATACAGGCCAATTATTTTGTGGAACAGCTCTCAATTTGAGTTTGCCATGATTACCTTCAGATTGGCACTTTGGTAGCCAGCCATCAAACTAGTCCCACCTCCCATTATTCCCACCCTTATGCAGTCTCCTCTGACACTACTGGAGTTGATCCTTGTGACCAAGAGCATAACAGAGCAGAAGTGGTTAGGAATACCTCTAAGACTGAACCAGGAAGAAACAGAAAATATGAACAGACCAGTAACCAGTACTGAGATTAAGTCAGTAATGAAAAAAACTCCCAACAAACAAAAGTCCAGATGGCTTCACAGGCAGATTTTACCAAACATTTAAAGAAGAGTTATCACCCATCCTTCTGAAAATATTCCAAAAAATTGCAGAGGAAAGAGAACTTCTGAATTCATCCTATGAGGTCACCATCACGCTGATACCAAAAGCAGACACAGCTATCACACACAAAAAATTACAAGTCAGTATCACTGATGAACATAGGTGCAAAAATCCTCAACAGAATACAGGCAAACCAATGCAACAATACATTAAAAGGAGCAGACAGCATGATCAAGTAGGAGTTATCCCAGGGATACAAGGATTGTTTTCAATATCCACAAATCAATCGATGTGATACACCACATTAACAAATTGAAGAATAAAAACCACAATCATCTCAATAGATGCAGAAAAAGCTTTTGATAAAATTCAACATTCATTTATGATAAAAACTCTCCAGAAAGTGGGCACAGAGGGAACATACCTCAGAATAAAAGGCCATATATGACAAATGCACAGCCAGCTTCCTACTCAATGGTGAAAAGCTAACAGCATTCCTTCTAAGAATAGGAACAAGACAAGAATGCCCACTGCACCAATTTTATTCTGCATACTTTTAAAAGTCCTAGCCACAGCAATCAGGGAAGAAAAACAAATAAAAGGAATCCAAATTGGAAAGGAAGAAGTAAAACTATCACTGTTTGCAGATGACATGTTACAATGCATAGAAAAAACACTAAAAATGCCACCAGAAAACTACTAGAGCTCATCAATTAACTCAGTAAAGTTGCAGGATACAAGATTAATATACAGAAATCTGGTGCATTTCTATACATTAACAACAGAATATCAGAAAGAGAAACTAAGGAAACAGTCCCATTACCATCACATCAAAAAGAATAAAATACCTAGGAATAAACCTACCTAAGGAAGCAAATGACCCGTACTCCAAAACCTAGAAGATGCTAATGAGAGAATTGTAGACGACATAAACAGATGGAAAGATATACTATGTTCTTGGATTGGAAGAATCAATAGTTAACTGTTAAAAATGACCAAACTACCCAATGCAATCTACAGATCCAGGGCAAACCCTATCTTATTACCAAAGACATTTTTTTTTAACAGAACTTGAACAAAAAATGTTAAAATTTGTATGGAAACACAAAAGATCCCAGATAGCCAAAACAATCTTGAGATGGAAGAATCAAGGTGGAGGAATCACACTCCCTGACTTCAGACTATATACAAAGATACAGTAATCAAAACAGTATGAGGGAATTCCAGTCAAGGTGGCAGAGTGGTAGGACCACAAGCTTGCCTCTCCTCGTGACTACAATGAAACCACAAGTAAATGCTAAACCACCATCAGAAAAAGACTGGAACCTAGCAAAAAAGATCTTCTGCAACTGGAAACGTAAAGAGGGAACCACAGCTGGACAGTAGGAGAGGCGTGCTTGCAATACCATTGGGCCCCATACCCCCCGGGTGGGTGACCCACAAGCTGAGGACCCAAAGGCCCTCCCATAGGAGTGAGAGCTCTAAGCCCCGCGTCAGGCTCCCCAGCTCCGGTCCTGGAATTGGAAAGAGAAGGAGAACCCAGGACGTCTGGTTTTGAAGGCCAGCAGGGCTTGGCTCTGGGAGCCTCATGGGACTGGGGGAAACGGAGACTCCATTCACTTAAGAAGTGTACATGGAAACTCGTGTGCACCAGGTCCAAGGGCAGAGGCAGTGATTTCATAGGAACCTGGGCCAGATCTGCCTGCTGGTTTTAGAGGGTCTCCTGGGGACATGGATGACAGCTGCGTCTCACTCAGGGGACATAAAAGCTGGTGGCAGACATTCTGGGAGTGTTAATCTACATGAGCTTTCCCGAAGGCTGACATCTTGATTGGATCATTAGCACCAAGACCTAGCCCCACCCAACAGCCTGTAAGGAAGCCTCAGGCCAAAGTACAGGATGGGAACACAGCCCCACTCATCAGCAGACTTCCTAAGCCACAAAGGCCTCTAGACACAGCCCTACCCACCAGAGGTCCAGGACCAAGCTTCACCCAGCAGTGGGCAGGCACCAGCTCCTCCTGCCAGGAAACCTGCATAAGCCTCTAGTCCAGCCTCACCCACCAGAGGGCAGATACCAGAAATAAGGAAACAGTAATCCCAAAGCCTGTGGAAGGAATCCGCAAACACATAGATAGACGATATGAAGCGGCAAGGGAATATCTCCCCAGCCAAGGCACAAGATAAAATCCCAGAAGAAGAAATAAGTGATGAGATAGGTAATTTTTCTGAGAAAGAGCTTAAAGTAATGATGGCCAAGATGTTCAGAGAACTCAAGAAGAGTATAGATGCACAGAGTGAAGTTTTTAGCAAAGAGCTGGAAAATATAAAGAATACTCAAACAAAATTGAAGAATAAAATCACTGAAATGAACAATACACTAGAAGGAACCAAGAATAGACTAAATGAGGCAGAAGAACGGATCAGTGAGCTAGAAGACAAGTTAGTGGAAATCACTACTTCAGAACAACAAAAAAAAAAGAATAAAAATGAATGAGGATGGTTTAAAAGAACTCTAGGACAACATGAAGCACTCTAATATTTGCATTATAGAGGTCCCAGAAAGAGAAGAGAGAAAGGACCTGAGAGAATTTTTGGAGAGATAATAACCGAAAACTTCCCCAACTTGGGAAAGGAAACAGTCATTCAAGTCCTGGAAGCACAGAGAGTACCACACAGAATCAGCCCAAAGAGAGGAACACACCAAGGCACACAGTCATCAAACTGACAACAATTAAGGATAAGGAGAAAATAATTACAGTAAGCGAGAGAAAAGC